CCATGAGTTGTCAGTCCGCCCCTGATCTTGCCTACAGGTGACTACGTGATGGACAATGCCTACACTTAAGTACATGTACAGATGTTGCCTACATGTGACTACATAGAGGAGCTTGCCTACATGTGATTGCATAATGGACATTGCCTACACATGACTACCTGATGGACGTTGTCTACACGTGACTGCATGACAGATGTTGTCTACTCCTAACTACAGGTAGGACCTTGTCTATATGTGACTGCATAATGGACGTTGCCTGCTCCTGACTACATGACGGATGATGTCTACACGTGACTACATGATGGACGTTGCCTACACATGATTATGTGATGGACATTACCTACACTTGACTACACAACGATGCTATATGCGACTACATGAAGGATTCTGCCTACACGTGACTACGTGAAGGACATTGCCTACATGCGACTACATGACAGACATTGCCTACTTGCAACTACATTTTAGGACCTTGTCTGCATGTGACAACATGATAGACATTGTCTACACGTGACTGCATGATGTATGTTGCCTACTCCTGACTACATGTAGGACCTTGTCTATACTTGACTGCATGATGGACGTTGCCTGCTCCTGACTACATAATGGATTATGCCTGCACATGAGTGCATGACGGATGTTGCCTACACATGATTACGGGATGGACATTACCTACACGTGACTACACGACAGATAATGCCTATATGCAACGACATAAAGGAGTAGACAAAGACCTGCCTATACGTGACTACATGAAGGACTTGGCCTACAGGTAACTACATAAAGGACTTTACCTACATGTGACTACATGATGGACGTTGCCTACACCTGACTACATGAAGGACCTTGCCAACATGTGACTGTGTGATGGACATTGCCTACATGTGACTACATGACAGACATTGCCTACTCCTGAATACATGAAGGACCTTGCCTACATGTGACTACATGAAGGACCTTGCCTACAAGTGATCACGTGATGGACATTGCCTACACGTGACGACATGACAGACATTGCCTACATGCTGACAAGGACCTTGTCTACACATGACTACCTAAAGGACCTTGTCAACATGTGACTACAATACTGATGTTACCTACTCCTGGCTACATGAAGAACCTTGCTTACACCTGACTAAGTGATGGACATTGCCTACACGTTACTACATGACAAACTGTGCCTACAGGCGGCTACCTGAAGGACCTTGCCTACCCATGACTACATGAAGAACTTTGCCTACCCGTAACTACATGTAAGACCTTGTCTACACTTGACTAGATAATGAACATTGCCTACACCTGACTACACAAGGGTATTTACCTACATGTGACAACATGTAGGACCTTATCTAAACATGACTACATAATGGACATTGCCTATATGTGACTACATGAGGGACTTGACTACATGTGACGACATGTAGGACCTTGTCTTCATGTGCCTACATTATGGACATTGCCTATATGTGACCACATGATGGATGTTGCCTATATGTGACTACAAGATGGACATTGCCTACATGTGACTACATGAAGTACCTTATCTACACAGGTCTTTTCTGTTTGTTTAGAGGACACTATAAATATAAATTAAATATCTGAAGGCAAAACCTCTCTTTTGACTAAGTGAGGAGATGTTAAAACCACTGTCAGATTTCTATTACTGTCTGTGTCCTCATTAGTAAGATTCACTCTCTCTGTACATTCTGGTGACCATTGTCACCAAGAGTGAAAGCAAGAACAAAAGTAAGAAGTCAATCTTTTAATAGGGACATTGTTCTGGTGACAACTGTCTAAGAGGACATTTCCCTCACTTTGGAGGGAATTCCTTTCACTTCCTGTTCTGGCTATGAGACAGGAAGTGAAGAAAAAAATTCACCAAAGGGACTAAGGCTTGGCTCACACTGTCGTGACTTGGGATCCGACTTGTGAGACCCCAAGTCACCTGACATGTGAAATCCCATGTTAGTCAATGAGAGCTGTCTTAATTAACACTACTGAAGTCGCTTCAACTTTAGAAAAGGTTCCTGGACTACTTCAAGGCGACTTCTATCTGACTGGTGTCCATAGACTTTAATAGAAGTCGCCTCCAAGTCGGATCCTTCTCTATATTGATGTGATTTAGATCCGACATTACAGGAAGATTACCCAGGCATTCCCTGAAAGTTGCTTCATAGTTGCTTCAGAGTCACTTCAAAGTAGTACTCAAGTTGCCTGGCAAAGTAGCACTTCAAGTCGTGCGACTTTCAGGTAGCAGTAGTGTAAACCGAGACAAAGATGGCAAAAAAAAAACCTGACAGGGGTTATAATCCCCCCACTCTATAAAAAATAAATAAATAAATAAAATATGGCCAGCCATACACTGTTGTGGTCCAACTCCCACTGTGCCTATTGTATTCTGACTTTAGGCAGCAGTGGCTGTCAGAACACCCAAACAGCAGATGCATCAGATTGCACAGAGGCGTTCAGCCAAGAATTTTCCATCTGAAGGATGTCAGGCATGAGGTGACCAACACGATCACCCATGTAGCGAAATTCATGATAAACTGACAGAAAGTCACATAGTATATGGCCAGCTTATGTTTTGGTTGTACTTTAGGCTCCTGCAGGTCCGTCTGTCACTATGAAACATTGCTATCCCTACATTTTGCTGCCCTAAAACCCTTCAATTTACTGCAATATCCCATTCAGTTTTTCTATATGGTAAAAGATAAGAAGCAGAATACCTACAGCCATCGTTATAGTAATCACACATTATTGCGTTGGTTAAAGCAGGGGTCTCCAAACTGCATCACACAGGCTGGATGTGGCCCTTTGCTTGCCTTTACCTAGCCCTTGGGGTACTATTCCTCCTACTGACACCAACAACGTGGCACCATTCCTTTTCATTACACCAACAATGGAGCATAATTATTCCCACTCACACCAATGATGGGACACTATTCCTTTCTCAGAAAGCAGAGATTGGGCACTATTCCTTCCACTGACAACAACGATGGGGCACTATTCCTTCTACTGACATCAAGAAAGGGGCACTGTTCCTTCCACTGACACCAACAATGGGCACTATTCCTTCCACTGAAACCAATGATGGGGCACTATTCCTCCCATTGACACCAACAATGGGGCACAATTCCTTCCACTGACATCAAGAAAGGGACACTATTCCCTCTACTGACACCAATTGAGTACTATTCTTCCCATGGGCACCAATGATGGGACACTATTCCTCCCACTGACACCAACAATGGGGCATTATTCCTCCCACTGACACCAATGATGAGGTACTATTCCTTCCACTGACACCAGTGAGGGGGCACCATTCCCTTCACTGACACCAATGATGGAGCACCATTCCCTCCACTGACACCAAGGATGGGGCACCATTCCCTCCACTGACACCAATGATGGAGCACCATTCCCTCCACTGACACCAAGGATGGGGCACTATTCCCTCAACTGACACCAGGGATAGGGCACTATTGCTCCTATTGACACCAATGATGGGGAACTATTCCCTCCATTGACACCAATGATGGGGCACTATTCTTCCCACCAACACCACTGATGGGGAATTATTCCTCCCACTGACATCAACGATGGGTCAATATTTCTCCTACTGACATCAAGAAAGGAACACTGTTCCTTCCACTGACACCAACAATGGGGCACTATTCCTTCCACTGAAACCAATGATGGGGCACTATTCCAGCCATTGACACCAACGATGGGGCACTATTCCTTCCACTGACATCAAGAAAGGGACACTATTCCCTCTACTGACACCAACAATTGAGTAATATTCCTCCCATGGGCACCAATGATGGCACACTATTCCTCCCAATGACATCAACAATGGGGCATTATTCCTCCCTCTGACACCAATGATGAGGTACTATTCCTTCCACTGACACCAGCGAGGGGGCACCATTCCCTCCACTGACACCAATGATGGAGCACTATTCCCTCCACTGACACCAAGGATGGGGCACTATTCCCTTCACTGACACCAACGATGGGGCATTATTTCTCCCACTGACACCAATGATGGGGCACTATTCCCTTTACTGACACCAGGGAAGGGGCACTATTCCCTTTACTGACACCAGGGAAGGGGCACTATTCCCTCCACTGACAACAGAGAAGGGGCACTATTGCTCCTATTGACACCAATGATGGGGAACGATTCCTTCTATTGACACCAATGATAGGGCACTATTCCTCCCACCGACACAAATGATGGGGAATTATTTCTCCCACTGACATCAATGATGGGTCAAAATATCTCCTACTGACATCAACGGCAGGTTACAATTCCTTCCACTGACACCAACAATGGAACACCATTCTTTCCACGAACATAAAAAAGTGGGACACTATTTCTCCCCACTAATACCAATGATGGGGCACTATTCCTGCTCCTCTGGACAATGGATGCTATGTCATTTTTTTACTCCCATTGACCACCAAGCATGAGGCATTTAATACTTGGCCACAATCTGACCACGTAAAGTCTGATGACTGGTCAAAGGACTGGTCCTTTGTTTAAAACATTTGAAGACCCCTGGTTTAAAGGAAAAGGTTGCCTGAGTTGAGGACAGAAGAACAGCTGCTATCTGTCAAAGCTCAGGCTTCCATCCAGTGCTGAAGGCTGACAGGTCCCCTTTAACACTGACAACGGTTCTGACTCTTCACTTTGAATAAAAAAAGCACCCAAATAGTTGCAAAAAGTGTCATTGTGAATAAACATTTAGCTTTGTACATGTTAAAAAAGCAAGAATAATATTTTACACTTTATACATTGTAACATCCTTATACAGAAGTGCTGTAAAAATGATATATAACTTCCAAATAATAATTTAGGCAGCTGGATATTAAATTACACAGCCCTGAGACAATGCACGTGGAAGCACCAATAATAGCCTAGTACGTCTCTTTCCCCTGATTGTTTCTATGAATGAAACTTTTTCTTTTCCTTTTTGCTTTTATTTCCGGAATAATCAGTTCACTATTTCGGTATAATCGTGATAGCTCACCAGCTCTGAAAAAATGTCATTAATCTTTTTGCAGCCGAGGTTACAGAAGCAAGCATTAATCCACATGACATTCCAGGTCACGTTGGTGCCGTCGGGGCAGTCGTAATGGACTTTGATGGTTTTGGATTTGTAGGGTGTGCAGCACCGGTCATCAGTGCACACTCCGCAGTATTTGGGTCTGTAGGCTCTTCTGCTTATGCAGCCTGAGATTGTGAAGTTCTTCGATTCTGGTTCGCGATACACTGCTAAGCATTTTTTGCCCGCTGTAAAGAAAAAAAAAAAGACAGAACATTAAAGATCGCTCTTATTGTAGTCGAATAAGAAAAAAATCCACATAACCTCAACTGTATATTTGCTTTTAAAGTGTTTTAAGAAAAGCGCCACGCCCTCTAACTCCAAAGCAGCAAATTCCCAACTCAAAAAATCAAATACATTTTTTGCTTAAACAGATAAATAAAAGGAATGTGCTAATTGAGTGAATAATACAAAGTGAATATATGAATTAAAAAAATAAAAAAAAAAAAAAAAAAAAATTTTGCAAAAAAAGTGTCCATAAATAATGTCCAAAAAAGATTTTTTTAATTAATGTCCACACTGTGTTAAAACCACCACCAAAAAAAAAATGTTTTTAAATCACTCACCAGAGCTCAAAAATAAACAAATACCTTTTTGCTCTGGGTAATATATAAAAACCAATTCTAGGATACAATACTGTGTAAATCAACTAACGAATTTTCCTCAAATGAAAAATAATACTGTGTAAATCAACGAACAAATTTTCCTCAGATGAAAAACCACCATTCAAGGATGTAGCAAGGATATATCGCAATCCGATTCTTAGATGTGAGAAACGAACAAATTTTCCTCAGATGAAACTCCACCATTCAAGGGTGTAGGTGATTTCCAGGAATATATCTCACGACTCTTTCGTATATTTCCACACCATAGGAACCATGTTTAAAGGTAAGAGAAAAGAATCATGGTGCAGCAAGTTTTAAAATTGTAACAAACTTTTTAATGAACGAATAAAACTCACAAGTCAGGTGTCTCCACCGACACCAGTTTTACAAGCATGTATTTAGGCAATCGTGCACGAACGTATCTTCGTTTGCTCTGGATCTCCTCCTCTCACATCCAAAGAATGTCTCAGACGTCAGCACCCAGCAGGCCACTCCCTACGCGTTTCGTCACCAATGACTTCCTCACGGGGCGGTCTGCTTTTTTTTGGACATTGTTTATGGACACTTTTTTTGCAAAACATTTTTTTTTTTTTTAATTCATATATTCACTTTGTATTATTCACTCAATTAGCGCATTCCTTTTATTTATCTGTATATTTGCTTTGTTTGCAAAAAAAAAAAAACCCTATAAGGACAATGTTGTATAGAAGGCACTATGAGCTGCTGAGCAGAATGCTGATGATGCCGCACACAATCCCTGTATGGCTGGGTAAGAGGAGAATGAGCATATTCCTTCCACCTCCTGCTATGGAGTGACTGGTGCCTCTCCAAGCAGTGCCTGATGCCTCACCATACCCATACCATACATATAGTTTAAATTCCCATGTTGCCCCGAAAAGGGACTAGTCATTTATGGTACTCTCAGAATCCCTGCCAGGGCTTCTGGGACTTCTAATTTCGGAACCCCTGTTAAGACTTCCAGAATTTATGCCAGGACTTCACAGAATCCTTGCTAGGACCTTATGAGTTCCCTGGAACAAATCTGAGTGTGTCCTCTAAGTTGGATATTTAAGCTCCAGTCTTTGAAGTGTCTGGTGCTGTGTCTTATCACAAGCTTCCTGGGAGCTGAAGATCTATAATACTTTCCTGCCACTTTCTTGTTTCATTCTGACCCAGATTGCCATGACTACTCTCTGGCTTGCCACCTACCATACCCTGAGCCTGGACCTGACTTTTGCCTGCCATGACCTCTGCCTTGATCTGACTACTCTCTTGTTTGCCACCTGCCATGACCTCTGTCTGGATCCAACCACTCTTTTGTTTACCGCCTTGGGAACAGTCTCCACAACCTAACTCGTCTACCCTAGCAGGGATGATCCTGGAGGCCATGTCTTGGGGCCAGATACAACAAAGAAAACAAGGTACCATTAGGATTTCTGGCTCATCCCCACCATCAGGAGTTCTGGTGAAGACCAACTGGTACTTACATTCCATGCCTTGGGTGAGACCACATTACCTACCAGAAGGCACCGTAACACAGACTCAGTCTCCACCAGAAAGTCTTATGAAACATGACATTTAGGGAAATCTAGCCAAAGAAAACAAGGTACCATTAGGGTTTCTGGCTCACCCCCACCACCATCAGGAGCTCTGGTGAAGACCAACTAGTACTTACACTCCATGCCTTGGGTGAGACCACATCGCCTACCAGAAGGCACCATAACACAGCCACATAATCTCCACCAGAAAGTTTTATGAAACATGACATTTAGGGAAATCAAGCCCATATATGTATAAATCTCTCCAGTTGTATCTAGTTTTTGGTGATTCTATGGATCAGCTATCTGGCACCATGTCTGATATGCTTGAAAGCCTTTTCTTGGCAAATGTTTTATGAAGTAGGTCTCCAGGTCTAACCCCAATTGCTGAGCTTTGGAGTGACATGAAGAACTTGATAATGCATGTGCATAGCCAATTTGTACACATATACTTAAGTCAATTTAGGCAGGAGTCAATTGTTCTATCAGCATGTCTTTGGAAAGGGGGAACAGTCCAAAGTATCCAGAGAAAACCCATACAAACACAGAAGGAACCAAAGACCCCATTACTGCAAGGCATGAGTGTTAACCAATAAGGCCACTAAGTGCTAGCCACTGTGCTTCCTGAACGTAACCATTAAGGGTTCATTTTGGAGCTTTGATCTTCCCCTTCATCAGATAATATGAAATTGCCTAAAACTGTCTTGTCTGTGCCCAGTATAATGCTGGCCAGAAATTTTCAGACAACCTCATCCATTTTCACTGAGCTTTTGATCAAAAAATAATGCAGCCAAACTAGTTCAAACAAAGTTTCAATGGAAACTGTGGGAGGTAATTTACAATGATCCATTTGGCTGTTTTTGCTATCGAATGCTTAAAGATGTTGAAACTCCTGGCAATGGCTTCTTGAAGGTCCCTTATCATCAGAGTGATGTTCTACTTTAACAACCTAGCCTAGAAGCAAGCTTACCCGGAAGTGCTGTGTGATGTCCACCTCACAGGGTCTCAGGTTGCACAGGCGGCTCTCTGTATGGAGTTTACACCTGTCATTATCGTTTGAGATGCGCGTAGATATCCCCATTCCACACGTCTTAGAACATGGGCTCCAAGGAGTTGTTTGGGTGATGCAGTTCTTCTGCCAGGTTTCACTTTCTTCACGATAAACTGAAAGAATTCAGAGTTCATTGTATGAATGCTCAGTTGGAAGTTGGAGAGAGTTAGTCATAAATTATAACATCCCTTGTCCTTTACCTTCCCACACTACTAGTAACCCTCCTTTTACCTACTACCCCTAGCAGCAGAACATCCCAGGACCATGAGACTTGTATTCTTTCCATTCACAGATCTTTGCGAATGGAGGATGCGGCTGTGTGGTCGCATCCAAAAAAAATCCCAGAAGATTGCAGGAAGAGGCACTCCACAATTCAGGTAATTGGAGATGAGTTGAGGTTGCTGGTTTGGGGAATGCGACCATGTTTAATGTTACACCCTCAATATGTACCTTTTAACCATTTCTTTTCTCTATCCCCTTCAGCGCCTTTTCTGGTTAAGAATGTATCAAGCAGCTTGCCACTTTTTAGTGCTAAAGAAAGTTCCCCTTTATGTGTATCCCCATGCTACGCACCAGGAGAAGCAATATGGCGGGGAGTAGCTTTTCGGAACCTCTTGGAGTCGTCACAAACCCATTGTTCACAACATTTTCCTGCCAGCTTAATCCGCTTGGGGTTCTGACACCAGACGAGAGGTGGACGGGAGTTTACGCAGAGGGGAACGCAACCCACGGCACCATCCAGACATGTGCAGTTGTACTTGCAGTTTGGTTGGAAGCTCTGCATGTCTTTGGAAAGGGGAACAGGTCCAACGTATCCAGAGGAAAAACCCATACCAACACAGAAAGGAACCAAAGACCCCATTACTGCAGGCGATGAGGGTTAACAATAGGCACTAAGTGCTAGCCATTTACATAGCGTACACCATTGAGAACACAACCTACTCCTGTCATCTCTGGAAAACAGAAGAAAGAAATGGTTTAGGAATTGCGCATATTTTCAATAAAGAAAAACAAACCATATACTGTACATTAATGCCTCGTTCGCACCATGCATGCGGAAAAACTGATGGAAACTGAATTGCAGATTTCACTTGCAGAGACATCAGTTTACATCAGTTTTCATGTGAGCTTCAATCAGTTTATTATTACACATTGCAGATTCCTGCGCAGAAAAAATCTGCACGTGACAGTAGTGTTGTGGTGTGAACAGGGCACATAGAGAATAATTGATTTTGTTGTGCCCTTGCAGAACTCCTGCAGAAAAACTGACATCTCTGCACCATGGTGAGAAAAAGCTTTGAACCAAACAACAGGCTCTGTTCACATAGCTAAAACGCCAAGTTAAAGATAGTTGTTTTCTAAAAGTGACAGTTATTTTCTAATGGGCTTTGAAAATAACAGTCACATAGCTAAAATTAAAGATGCTTATCCAGGGGCTGAATGACCATTTGGAAACTCGGGCACTGCCCGAGGTCAGTAGGGGGCCCCATGAGATGCCCCTGGTACCTTTTTCATAGGCTTTTTTGAGTTTGGGCAAGGACACACGGGCCCCATGATCCCCTATTGCCCGGGGGCCCCATGAGTTGTCAGTCCGCCACTGTGCTTATCATTATGTAAAGATTCATACATTGAGTCCAAAGACACAAATAAATAAAAAAAACACTCCCTCTCATCTCTTAAAACCCATAAAGAAAATCATAAAGTTTTTTCCAGTTTCCTATTTATACTGTTTTCTATTTAGTTGGTCAAAACACTTCATAAAATCTGGAGTCCTATCCTATTTATCTAATTTGAAAATCAATCTAGTTGTCTTCAATAATACTATAAATCAAGTTTTTTTCTAATATAGGAACTGCTGTCGCCAAACAGTACCATGACACTGTGGCACATTTATAGTTTTTTTACTTCTTTTTTGTTTCTCACAGATATCCAAAATTGCCTTCTAAAACATCCCAACCTATTTTCTATATACTGTATTATGCACGATGGTTCCATTTTCTAATCTACATCTCCAAGTAGGACTATGTTTTATGGCCAAAGGCTTAGGGATACCTGACCAGCACACATACTATATGACCAGCATGTGGACACCCCTCTAAAGAATTGAATTCAGGTGTTTCAAGTGAAGGATACTGATAATGCTACACCATAAAAATTCATGTTAGAAATTGTGCACTTCCAACCTTGTGGTAAGTTTGATGAAGGCCGTTTTTTCCTCCAAAAAAGTATGGTTTGATGAGTTTGGTGTAGAAGAACTTGAGTGGTATTCACAGAGCCCTGACGTCAACCCTACTGAACATTGAATTGTAACGTCATTTGCGAGTTAGATCTTCTCATCTAACATCACTACCTGACCTCACAAATGCTCTTTTGGGCACCCGCTTCCAGAGACACATTCCAAAGTCTTGCGGAAAGCCTTCCTAGAAGAGTTAGGGCTGCTATAGCAAGTTGGGCGGGGGGGGGGGGCAAATCCATATCAATACTCTTAGTGAATATGATGTGCAACAAGCTTGTAAAGAAAATGTGTTTCTTTGTCCATGGATTTGCAGAAAAAAAGTGTTCTCCAAGCAGGAGAAAGGCCATGAGACAGTAGAATAAGTTCAGTATACTGCTGCAAAGGAAGAAGCAACGGGGTTTGACTTACTAAAGGCAAACAGACTGTGCACTGCTAGTGCACTGAAAGAGCAGTTGCTCTAGATTTTTGGGGGATCATGCAAGGAAAATAAAAAAAAAACAGCATTTTTGCTTGCACATGATTGAATGAAAGAAATCAGCAGAGCTTTGCCTCATTTCAGTGCTTACCTTTGGATATAAAGCAACTGCACTTGCAGTGCACAGTATATTTACCTTTAGTAAAACAACCCCAATGTCTTCTTGCCTATAGGGAAAAAAGATCCAGGCCCACCATATGGGAGATAGTGATAAAGTTTTCTTGCCCAGGATCATGGCTCTTCTGAATCTTTCACCAGGGCCAGCTTACATCCACCAGAGACAGGCGGGAGGGAGACATCAGCCATCTAATTCCCTAATGAGACCAATTTTGCTAGACCGGTGAGAGTGCTGGATGTGCCTGCCAAGTTTTGTAAGGCTGCCATATTGCCTTCCATCTAACTGCTAATAAATACAGTGTCAACACACTGAATAATAGAAACATTCCAATATTCTTTGAGTCTGAAAATGTTTGTAGACAGGTGCAGTCTAGAGAGAGAGACTAGAGCACTGCTGTGACAGGAGTAACTTTGGGTGGGGGGCCCGTGGAACACAGCTCACTTTGGAGAGGTGGGGAGACCCCTGTCTCAGCTCCCCATATCCCTCTTATGTGTAAATCCCCCTGTGCCTATTAGGGGTACAGGGTGATCTGTCCTTATATTGGGGTGGGGGGTTGTTGATTGTTTAATGCCATGTGGTTGCATCCCATTGTTCTATTGTGTATCTGGCTTGGGAACAAACTATTATGGGATGTATGTGTTTATGGGTATTTGCTTGGTGGGGGGTGTCTCCAGCAGCCCTCCTGATGGGACTGTCTGTTGGTGTGTCTCTTGTTACTAAATGTAGATTACCCCGCCCTGTATCATTATGCAGGGAGGGGGTATTGTCCCCTTGAGTGTATATATCTTGTATCTGTGTTCAAATAAACTAGTCTACTTCCTGGTTTACTTGGACTGGTGTCGTGTAGTCTTGTATGGTCTGCTGTGGTGTCTGTGGTCGGTGTTCGGACAGGGAAGCGGTAGTCTAACGGAAGTACCCAAGTGCAGTCTGGGGTCGGTTCCGTTACAGCTGTACATTTGTACTAGCTTCACATCTGGTTGAAAGCAAAGCTAGCCATTAACTCCTTGGAGGATGACGCCCCAACAAGCGGTGATGACTCTGTGGTAAAAAGACCGGGCCACACTGGAACAAACCGAGCAAACCTAGAGGCCTAGACAATGTTATGGTTTTTAGAGCTAACTCACAGATTCTTTGTCCAGAGACTGCATGCACTGCACTGTGCAGTGGTGCTCCAGAACCTCTAGAAACGATTGGAGAAGAAGGATACACGTGGTTGTGTAGAAATCTTGGACTCAGGTCACATACTGAGGGGTCAGTTTGTGGCAGGACCGAAGGCAGACCCAGTCAGGATGGTCTTGGAGGAGCGAAATAGAGTACAGCCAGCCATCTCGTTCCACAATATTGTGGTGGAAGGCAATGGTAGCAGTGATCAAAAAGTATGATCCGCTGCATATGTAAAAAAAGAGGCTTTGGAACCTCACCACTGTCCACCGTACATGCAACACTAAGGGAACTCAGCTTGGATGTGGCTTCTCTGAAACAACAGGTATCTGTTACCTTGGGTAGAGGAATCATTGATGGCACTGGGGCAAGCAAAGTACTTTTCTACCCTTGACCAGGCAAGCGGCTACTGCCAAGTCCTGGTAAGCGATCAGGATTGTGAAAAGACAGCCTCTATTACACCCTTGGGACTGTTTGAGTTTAATCGCATGCCCTTTGGGTTGAGTGCTGCCCCCAGGACTTTCCAATGTTTTAATGGAAAGGTGCTTGGGAGACTTCAAATTCAAGACTGTGTTAGTCTATCTGGATGATATCATAATTTTCCCCAAGACTTTTGAGAACCATGTCCAGCACTTGGACCAGGTGTTGGTGAAAAATATAAAAAACGAGAGAGGCAGCAAACTGGGACCTAAATGGGAACGTACCCCTTATCGGGTGAAGAAGCAGCCCTTCCCTCTAACTCCAGTGTACAATGTAGTCTCTAATCCCATTAACAGACGTCTTCATCGCAACTTATTGAGACCTTGTGTGCTTAGTGGCTAGTGCTCTAACAAACCAGCTGGAGACAGAGACTCATTCAACTCTGCAGATATCCCACCAGTACAGGACGTGCCTGAGGAATGGTACCTGCCCCCTCTCCTGCTAGGACCTCTGGGTTCTGACACTCCAAAGGCAAAAAGCTGCAGCACAAAGAATACGGACAGCCCAGAGAGTACCACAGGCTGTCCAGATCTGTCTGAGGAGTTTGTGTTGGGCCCAGGTGAAGAGTGTATGGGGGATACGTATAGCTCCCACCCTCCTGTGGCTACTGAACCTCAACCAGAAGCTGATTACTTGCAACATGATTCCACAGAGGACACTGAGTCTTGACGCCCTTTGTGGTCCAACAGTGTGCAGCTTCATGCAAAGTATTCTGGCTATGTTATTTGAACTTTGTTGTCATGCCATGCCATGTCATCAGAACAGCGTCTGTCAAGAGGTGTGGGGGGGGGGGGGGCAGGTGAAATCTAATTTCTCCACTGTAGGTGGTGCTCAACTGCAGCGGCAGTGCAGAGGGAGAGAAAGTCATGAGGAACATGGTTCCTTTATGGTTTCCTGGGTCACTGGAACAGAGATCCGGTTGGATGCTGAAAGCCTATGTGACTGTGGTGGCCATCTTGGGTCAGGCAGACTCTATTTAAGACCCTGTTTCTTGGGTTTGGTGTGCATTTAGCGTGTTTATACTGTAGGGACAAGTTAGCCATCTGTCAGGGACAGTATTAGCGACAGGAAAAGGTTCCAGATGAGTAGGGAAAGCCTAGGGATCTGTCACTTTTCCTGGAATCCTCCTCACTTGGCCTCGGACCAGCCAAGCCATATTCTGCCCCTCAAGATAAACATTGTCAGCTCCACTGAAACCTGCTCCCCATATGCTTCTGTCATCCATGAGTGTTCCTGGTTGGGCTTCCGTGGGGACTTGTTGTGAACTGTTTTACTAGACTTCAATACAGGTTCTTTCAATTATTCCAATTACTGATGAATGGAGTGGAGTATAGCCCCAAAACACATTGGCTTTTGTAAAATATTTGTTTTTGTTATACTATGGTGAATGAATGAATGAATATTATGGTGTGACGCTGCAATTACAGTCTTACCCATATTGCTGTTAGAGACTATGTGAACTGTAACTGCTTATAAGTGTTAG